AAAACTAGTGTTGTATTCTATGCGGAGAAATAGTTTGAGCCGAAAATGTGAAACTAAACTTACGGTGAGATATATTTATTGGCCATAAACTCAAATTAGGAGCTCATGTTTGGCCCAAATGTATGCATTTGAGCGGCGGAAAGGGTCGGCGCATCTAAATAGAGAAATATAGTTACAATCAATTCTGTAGTTAAACTGAATTTAACTCTCAAAATAGATACTATGTTTGGCATTAAATTTTATGCCACAATTCAATGCGTTATTTCTATTTTAAATTTAAGCAAAAGTTATGCTGAAAATCAATTTGAAATTCTTTTCACTTTTTTCTTTTAAAATTGCAAATATATATAAAAATACTTAAATTTCTATTTATCAATATTTATTACCACCGAATTTATTTCATTCTCATTTCTCATTTACTTTATATATTGGTTTTATTAATAAGTTATGTATAATATAATAATTACATACATTATAGTGCAGTATAAATAAGTTAAAGTCCATATGTTTTATGCATTTTATTGAAATTAGGAGCGTTTGCACGACATTCACAAACAATCCCATATTGAAAGCAATTAATTTAAATAAATTAATGAAGTTTTATTCCAATAGACTATTACCACAAAACCCTGTGTTAAATAAATCAATCGATCAAATCATGTGAATTATAATAAAAGCATTCATTTCTAGAACCGATTCTACTGTCGACTCTAATCTCTCAATACATTTATCTAATAATACATTATTTACGTTTTCAAACCAATTATACCATAATTTTTATTAAATTAGGGATTGAAATCAAACTCTAATACATCTACTAATGTACTGATTTCGCCGTCGATCACTAAAAACCAGAATTTCTTTGCATACAAATTGATTAGTATTTGCCAACAATAGTAAAACACAAAATTTAATAACTACTGTATTAACTCTTGTATTATACAAGAGTTTATACAAGTTGTATAAGTAATCGAAAAATACTAATAACTCTTATGTAACCGATAATTGTATTCAGAATATAAGGGTAGCGAATAATAGTAAAATAATGGTATATTTAAATAGGTGTTCATCGATCATAAGCCAGATATATGGCGTCAACTTCGAGGAACTGGTGATCGAAGAGAACGGAAGATATGCGGGATTACAGCAAACAGAAGGCGATTACGAAACTCTGGGCCAACCATACAGTCCGCCACAAATCCACGGACACAACAATAAGTACAGTATCGACGATATCGTGTACCTGAACTGTACGACTCCTGTCGTGTCGCCGCCGCCACTACTCGAGTGGTTTATAAATGGCAGAGAAGTATTGGATAAAACATTATTTGATCGCCAATTACTCAATCCTTTTGTTATCCATTATTTTTCTCGAACACAGAATATTTTTCGTATATTCTTGTGTTACTCTCGTTTTTTTGTTGCGTTAAATCTTTTTTATACCATTATTTGCTCTGCGAATCGATAGTAAATTTTGGTTTTTATATATAGATTTCCCACATATACTGTATATATCTATATGTTATGGTATTTATTGCCTTTTGTATTACAGGCGCCGAACTCTCAACTAATCATTTTCAGTAAACCTAAGGAACCGAACGATAATCTAATGTTTAGTTCAACTATTTATGACAACTTCGCCGACTTTGATGCTCATAGAAAGAGCTCTGTTTTGGGATTACGTTTTCAAATAACTAAAGAACACTATCAGGTGTCCAAACTATTTATCAATTACTACTATAACAACATTACAACAACACATACAATACAGCCATTCATTGGCTTTTAGTGAACGCATCTTTTGATACAACAATAATTTTTTTTAAATAGTTTTTTCTCTACTTTCCATTCGTTACTTAATATCCGAAACACAAATATTACTATTATTTTGATAAAAACTTCGGCTCTTTTTATATCGTTTTTATGTGATTTTTATGCAGACATCTGACGGGAAACTGAGGCTCAGATGTAGTGCCACTCACGCGACCATTATTGGCACCGATAGGACAGAACTCGTCCTGTTTTCTGGCGGAAGACAGAGCTCATCGTTATTCGCTTCTGACGCCACCGCCAACGGTATGTCATCTCATCTTTTCTTCCCATATGTCTCTCCTTTCCCTTCCCTTCATCTCCTATTCCTAAACCTGTTTTGCATCAAATCATTACCACAACATCTTTGATGTATAATTTATATATTGGACATCAAATATGACTTAAATATTGAAAGACATGACATCTGTTTCAGTGTTGAAAAGTTGACATAACTTTCGCTAACTTTTTATACCTAAAACAATCTCAATATTAACTGAAATCTAATACATGTTAGTTTATCAGAAATTTTTGGTTTATTTGGAACATATTTTATTAATTAATTTCATTTTTACCAGTTATAGTGAATAAAATACAGTACTTTATATACAGTACAGTATAATATACTGTACATATTATGTAATATTCTGTAACATTAGATGTTTGACGAGTATATATTTTAATTGCATGAATAGTGTCAAATCGGTGAAAATAATATCAGGAATATTACAGTAATATTCAATTTTAAACTAAATTAAATAAAATATCAAATTAACAACTTTATAATTACCTCATAATTGTTAATTTAAAAAACATTTCATACTTTTGATTGCGTTTATAAATATATTTATTTATACTGTTATGACGAGTGGCTAATTGTGATCAATTGATTATCACAGGTATAGCGTTTGGACGCATAGTTTTCGGTGCCTTTTTATACTACTTGACGGTTACGTGGATTAACTCACTTTAATGTTTGCGATCG